ACAAAAGTAGGGTCAGGACAGGCAAGCAGATCAGATGGATGGAGCTTCTATACTCTGGCAAAATGGAGCCCAGGCTTGCTTTATTTATATCAGGGGACATCAAAGGCAGAGATAAGGTTTCAAGGGCAGAGTCTTGCTTCCAGCTGTCTTGGAGTCAGCAGGTTGATTGACATCTTGGCAGGTCACACCAGTCCCAGGTGCTGGGTGGAATCTCTGGCAGAGCTTGAGGGGGAAGTATACCTGCATCAGGTGATCAATACCTGTGGGGTGCCACAGGAGGTTCCCAATGTCAGACTTATTCCCTTATTAGGCCACTATGTGCAGCATAGTCCACAGAGCCCAAGGATGGTTTGTGACAGAGCAGCAATCCCTATATTCTTGAGGACTCTGAGGCCAGGATGGTATGGTCCCCCTCTCTCTGAGGTGGGGGTGTAGTCACTGGAGATCAGGGGAGTCACTAGAGTGCTTTGGCAGTTCTCCCTGTGAGGAGCTGTGGTGGGGGTGCCTGCTGGGGCTGATGGGGATATGGAGCACTGAGGCAGTTTTCTCTCCTGCATAGTGGAGTGTAGCTATTTTTCCAATTCCCTGGGGAGTCCAACAGCAGGTTCCATTGCCTGGGGGTGTTTTCCTGTGGGAAGGGAAGCCAGTTCTGGATTTGTTTGTACCAAACCATCTCCCCCACTGGCTCTGAGTCCATTAAAGTCAGTTTACCCCTACAATTCACAGGTTTCTCCAAGTCAGTCCTCTTCCTCCTCTCTCAACTCCTTCATCTCCTCCCTCCTCCTCTCCCTCCTCCTCTCCCTCCTCCTCTCTGACAATCATGCCTTGTTTGTCTGTGCTACTCTTGCAACCACCAGGGAAGGCCACATTGGCATACTCAAGCCAGCACTTTGCTTACTTTTTATTTCAGATGTTTAGGTAACTAAAGTTTTTTGTAGTAATTTTTTTTAAGAGTTTAAGTTTCAATGTATTCCCTTAACTACTCACCTCTCAGAGAAGGGATCCTCTCCCTTTGTAGGACTGATGTTGAGGAGTTGCTCAGCAATGCTTTCTCCCTCCACTCCACCATCTTTCTACTCCTGTTTTTATTGGGTACCAGGGCACAGGATGCAGGGCCCATGGCTGTCTGTAACTGTGGGGTTTGCTGATGCAGACTCTTTGGAGAAGCCGCCTCCCTGAATGAGGAATATTGCTGGGAGATGGTTCCCATGACTAGGATAGAGAGAAAAACTTAATTTTCTCTGCCACCACAGTCTCCCAGAGCACTTCTACAGTTCTTGCTCTCAGAGACATCATTATCACTGGATTTTTTTCTTCTATTCTCAGAAATACCCAATGCCTATTCAAACACCAGTAATACTACAATATACACGTAATACTACATACATCTAATTGTCTACATTGAAGGTCCTTCACGCCACCTATCTAGGGGTATCAAATTTGTACCGGTAGCTGCAATTTATGTGAAAACATTCAAGACAGCAAGTTTTACAATACTTTATTTATTTTCTTCATGTTTATAAGGATAAGAAATGGAATAGTACATTTTTTCTAATGCTATTCAACAACATGAATTAATATAAAAAACACTACATATTGTGAGCATTTAAGAACAATTACTCTAGAGTACTGTAGTGCAGAAATACATGTTCTATTTCTTCATCAGTTTTTTGGCCCAGTGATTTTCAATCTTCACTGCTCATCGGAATCACTAGACTAGATTTAATATAAACTGATGTCTGGTTCCCACACAGAGAGTGTCATTTCCTTGATCTGGAATGTGGCCTGGGTAAAATATTTTTTCAAAGTTTCACAGGTGATTTTAATGTATAACATTTTGAAATCATCTAACTTAAACTTTATTTGTATAGTTTGTCTTATAATTGTATATGTTGTATATTTGTGAGTGTGTGTGTGTGTGTGTGTGTGTGTGTACATTTTCAAGGGATATTTGAAATGCAAAATAAGGCTATATAGTTTGTAAGTTTTACATGTAATGTCATTAATGAAAAGTTAGATAACTTGGAAACAAAATCTGCAATGACTTACATCAGGCAATTAATCTCCCTCAACATTGTTTCTGCATGTCTCAAGTGGAAATTTTAGCTACAAACTCTAATTTGTAATCTTTTTAAGAAATATGTGCATATCTCTTTCAAACACAACGTATTATATTAATGTTTCCCTCTAAAAAAGTATAAGAAACATTTCAAAAATCCTGAAAACCACCTATTAAGTTCATACTAAATAACAATGTGTAATCTTTTGCAGTCATGGAAGATTTCTTTGCTTGGGATTGCAGCTATATTATGACATCACATTGTCTATTCACTAAGATCCTTCTTACATTCTGAGATTCTAAATTTTGAAAAATATCTAAAATAACATAAGCAACATGTGATAAGGAATAAACAAAAATAATACTTAAGCATATTTTCTGGGGGCTGGGATTGTGGCTCATCTAGCATGTGCGAGGCCCTGGGTTCAACCTTCAGCACCACATAAAAATAAATAAATAAATAAATAAATAAAGGTATTGTATCCAACTACTTCTAAAAAAATAAATATTTTTAAAAAACACATTTTCTGTTTTTTTTTTTTTTTTGCTTTACTGGTTTGAAATACCAAAATTCAAAATCAAATTGTATATTTTCCCAGTTTTTGAAACATCTTCTTTTTCTTTTTCTTTTTCTTTTTCTTTCTTTCTTTCTTTCTTTCTTTCTTTCTTTCTTTCTTTCTTTCTTTTTTTTTACTAAGATGTTCAGAATGTCACAGAATTTTGGTAAATTTTGTGCCAATGTTTAAATGTAAAGTTAGATAAAACACAGACCATATAATATATCAAAACACAGCATACCCTGCAGCATAGTTCTGAGGAATCATTAGAAAGCAGGCAAAAAAAAAAAAAAGCGAAGAAGGTAAATCATAAACAATACTTTGTTTATTTGTTTTGTTTTTATATAGTAGAAAATTTATTTGAAGTCTATCATAAGAATTTCTTTAGTAAAATGTTAACTGGATCAGAAACTGCTAATGAATTTGTTTTTTACCATTTAACACTTTTGTAAAATTAGATAAATTAAACTTTCTGATACTTATTTAGCCTCTTTGTTTAAATCAATGTAATAAAACACTTAAATGATATTATGGGAAAGGAATATGATCATGTTTCTTAAAATACTTAACCAAGACCTGAGCTAAATCCTCACTATTTTATTTTCATAATCATGCCTAAAAAACTTTTATTTTGTTATTTTATTTGATTTTGAATTCTATAAGATGCATTTTGAAGCAGAGAATAATAACTACCACCAAATAACTTACCTTCTCCTATTGTTCATTTATTTTGCTAATCTGAGCACTTTAAATGTTCACCTCTAATATGACTGAGAAGAAGTTGATCCAAGTAAAATAAAGTGAAATGTGTACTGAATTTTGCATTGAAATTTATAATTTTATTATTTTTATGCTACTGAATTCATAACGTCCTTATTCCTTATACCAATGTGATTTGTAGACGAAGTTCAATGTTATCAACATTTCAAAGAAATTCAGAACTTCTCCTAAATCACACTCTCCATTATTGCACACTTCCCAAGTGTGGTACATGTATACACCTGAAGATTTAAGAAACACTGCTTTGGACTATTGTAGTTAGCTATTACTCTTTGGAAAATTAAGAAATCTCTGATTTAAGCTTAAAATAATTTCATATTGCATGTGTTCTAATTTCATATGGCCATAAATTAGATGTTTTATAAAGAAGACTAAATCTGGGCTGGGGATGTGGCTCAAGCGGTAGCGCGCTCACCTGGCATGCGTGCGGCCCAGGTTCACACCGCGTACAAACAAAGATGTTGTGTCTGCCGATAACTAAAAAATAAATATCAAAAATTCTCTCTCTCTCTCTCTCTCTCTCTCTCTCTCTCTCTCTATCTATCTATCTTTCTTTTAAAGAAAAAAAAAGACTAAATCAGTAGTAAAAGGATATTTTTTAAAGTATTGGTTGAACCATTTATTGCTAGTGAAAATTCATCAAATTCCTAAAATTCAAAGATTTTCTGCTTTGTGATATGTAGAGTAAAATATTAGTTAATACTTCTTATATATCATAGTATTTTTTAAAGTTTCGTGTAAAGTGGCACATTATTAATATTCAAGCTTTGTATACACATGTAAAACATTGTAACAGGTTGGGCACCTCAAATCTAAAAATCCAAAATATGAAATACTACAAAAGAAAATATTTTGAGTGCCAAACTGTTGGTATAAGTGGAAAATTTCACACCTGACCCCATGTGATGTGTCTCAGTGAAAACATAAGCATAAAAGAAATATGGTATAAAATTAGATTTGGGCTAAGTGTATAATGTGCATATGTAGCATAAATTAATTGTGCCATTATACTTGGGTCATATTCCAAAGATTTTTTATTATGTGTATGCAAATACTGTAAAATCTGAATAAAATAATTGTGATTTTCAATACTTCTCATCATAAATATTGTTCAATCTGTATTAATATGTGAGTTTCTGAGTGGATAGTGGCCAGGATTTAATAGAAATAACTATCCATAAGTAAAATATGAGCAAGAGCTCTTTGGAAAGAAAGATAAGATGGCATCCTCAGAGTTTGATTAATAATATATGTTTTTGTTAATTCATAGCAGAAATGGAGTATCCTAAAACGGATAATTTGGGATAATTTTGACCTTTATTTTTTTGCCTGATTTGTGTTGACTTTGCTTGGCAGTTCTAATCCATTGTTGTGCAATCAGCCTGTGATGAAAACATGACCAATAACAACATAAAAACAGACAAAAGGCAAAAATATGAATTTTTCTCAGTTCTTTCACTTTCCCCAGCAATGTTTCTCATTCTATAATGGAACTAAAGTCTTAGGAAATGTTATATGCCATGGATTCGGCATGGAAGTCAGGATATTTTGAGGGATGTCTTTATGGAAATCAGTGATGCAAACTTTGGTTCTTTCCTTTACAGATAAAAAGACTTGTGGACCTCATGAATTCCAGTGTAAAAACAACAACTGTATTCCAGATCACTGGCGGTGTGATAGCCAGAATGACTGCAGTGATAATTCTGACGAAGAAAACTGCAGTAAGTAACTTCTGCCTAATAACATTGCAAGTTTGACAGCTCATTCAATAAGCAAGATGGCAGTTTTTATTTCAGATAACGTAAAATTTGAACCTAGCTGTCCTGCAGCTCACATTTTTATACATATATTCACATTTGGACAAAAATATTCAGACTAAATTGACCTGAATCTCAAAGGGTAGAATTATTGAAATGCTCATCCTGAGAGTTATTTTCTTCCAGTCCTCAGAATTGGTATGAAAGTATCATGAGGTTTAATGCAACCCATTAGTATGCAATGAAGGAAGCCCTTGGTGCAAGTTCATACAATGAGCTGAATGATGGGGAGACGGTACAAAACATCTCATTCTTTAACGGATGGTACTCATTTCATTTCAGTCTCAAATCCTTTTATAGTACAGATTCACCCAAGAGCATCTTTCAGTGAATTATCATTTATTCTCTCTGGAGTGGTGAACATCATATTTATTTAGGATGCTTATCTCTGAAAATGGAATAACACTATTATCATCTTCCTCCTGCATTTTTATGTAATAAATTTAAAAACAATAATTATTCAACATTTTCTTGAAAAAAACATGGTACTATATAAAATTGTAACAATGTCTCTGTATTCTAGCATTAATATGTTAATATGTTTCTGAGTATATTTCTTATCAGCACTTTTATATTCTGCTGTGTAAAAAAAGCACTGCAGCCGCATTTAAAATAAGATAATAATTAAATTCCATGTATTGAATATTTATATTTTGATACTACCTAAAAAGATATGATGTATATTAATACTAGCAACGTCTGCTCTTGCAGATGTCTCATTGGACTAAGGCCACTCATTTCCCAGGAGGCAGAGGAGTAAATCTACATAGGAAAACATTATATATTAAGGCATGTAATTAGGAAAGTGAAAGTCTTAATAAACCACTTGAATATATAGCTTGCAAACTATGAAATAGTGTCTTAAATAGCTTTCAAAGTTTAATCTTACCTATGTTTGAGAATCAAGTACATCAAGTGTGAAATATCTGCATCATTTCAATAACAGACTATTCTAAATATGGGAATTTTTCTCATTCCCTCTTCACACAGATACCTCCCAACCATAGTCTTTAGAGAGACAGACAATATTGCAGGGAGTCATTAGGATGCTTCAGATTCCTTTGGTCACCAATTAAAAGAAAAAGTATATATACATGTTTTCAGATGTGTTTAGTGATTTAGATGAAAATTCAATTGGGTAAGGGTGGTAGTATAGAATGATAAAATGTATATAAGGCTTATATATTCAAGTACCTATTTAGCTTAGGTCTACTATGTTTAGTGTTTATTATCATATAGATACTTGAAAACAAAAGCCCTTTGAAAGATATTGAGAACAACAGAGGGTGGGAAGGAGTGAATCATTAAAAACTTATGCCTGTAGAACTTTATTCAAGGAAATAGTTGAAATTGCATGAAAGATGTTGTATAATAAATAAAGAAAAAGAAGTTAGGATAGTCTGCCTTTGAGTGGCTGGGGTTTCTTAAGTGGCTGAGTGTCTTTGTGTTAATATCTAAAAGTGAGTTTTTGCACAGGAAAGCAAGGAGAAAGAACATTGACTCTCTCTTATCACTGTGGCAACAGGGATAAATCATTGAAACCACAGAGCCCTTAAAATAAGCAAGGGAAGTGGCTATAGTATCAAGTACTGCAATATGAAATACCCAATTATGTGGATCTTAGTATCTAAGTTTTATGAACCTTTTGCCTAAGTCAAATAATATTGATGAAGTTAAAGAGGAAAGAAGATAGTGAACAGATATGAATTATGTTATAGAGTGACCTAGAAGAGTGGATGACAGAGCATATTAAGACAAGTATCAGAGCATATTATCATGTTTTAACATAATATGAGAAAGACTCTTTAGATATAGATAATTGAGTTGCTTTTGAAGTTTTTATGTTTGAAGATGCTTTCCGGAGTTGACCACAACAAATGAGAAGGAAGATGTAAACATTGAAAATGTCAGCTATTCTACATAGGCAAAAGCTGTATGAAGAACGAATAATCACCGAGAGAAGAGTATTATAGAGGTCAGGCTTAAATACTGTTGTTATATTAAAATGCCATCTGAGCTCAGGTCTTCAGGAGCCTGACAGGAGGATGGCAAGCTCTACGCCAGTCTTGGCAACTTAGTGCGACACTGTATCAAAATTAAAAAAGTAATAACAAAGACTTGGGATGTAACTCAGTGGTAAGGCAACTGTGTGTGTGTGTGTGTGTAGATAGTCAACATATTCCCAAATTATTTCTTATCTATTAAAGCAACTATTAATGTATACACACACTCCATACTGTCTAAATATAGATATATATTAATATATATTTTATAATGCAAAATTTCATGTATATATGAACCATGCTTTTTTTATCATATTTTCTAAATATTATTGGCTAGTTTAATGCACGTTGGGCTACATTTTTCAGTAATTGTTAGCTATTGCTTAGAAGCAGAGATAATAAATCAACCTTATATTTAAAAAGCAACAGCAACATTTTTAAAGTCACTTTTCTACTTCTTTGTTTATGAATCTAATTTAATGGATTTTCTTTCCAAATTTTGTTAGAAACATTCCTGTCATAGTCATGGCAAGAGTTCAAATGGTAGTGGAGCAATTAATTACCAGCTATATTTTAAATGTAGTATGCTTTCTACATTTTTATATTTACATGGGATAATTAGTCCATTGTCATTTCATCATCATCTGCTGATCATTTCCTTGGTTAAGTGTTCAGCAGGGACACTTTGCTTCTACAATGATTTCTGCTCTTAAAAACAAGAAAATTTCATTTTCAGTGGGGTTATTTTGTAATCTGTTTCAAATATTTAGAAATGCCTGAGAAATTTCACCATCTATTTTATTTTTATCAACAAAAATATAATATATGGCAGGTGTGCTTTCTAAGTAATTGATGTGCAAAATAAATTGGTTTATATCCACACTAAGAAGTCTTATGGATTTTAAAATATCAAGTAATTTGATCAACTAGATTAAGGTTTATATGGTGACAAGCTGCTTCTGCCTTATTTGAAATTCTAGTACTTTCACACTGAATTTATATCAGAGTATTATTTGTATAGAATGTCAGTTATACTAAATATATTCTAAAAATTGTTCTTAGTTGTTTATACCCTATTCATATTATTTTCAAATTTATCATCAGTGGTTTATGATAATCTAGGCAGTGGAAAATCTGGCTCCAAATATCTCACTGGTCTGTGGCTAACTCTATGGCTTTAAAAGTCACTTTAGTTCCTCAACTTCAGTTTTATGCAAGATGGTTTCTGAGTTTCTTTTCAATACCGATTCTGTATATCATTGCCTCCATCAATTGAAGGAAGACAATATGATGCCTCTATTTTTCAGTCTTATTATAGAAATGAGTTTGGTCTTCCAAAACATAAAAGCATGCCCTTCAGAAGCTTCTTGGTTGTTAATCTGCTGTCTAGATGAAGTTTATGGAGACCTTGGTTAATTGTGTTAATTGTTAAATGTGGGTTTCCGCATCCACTCTTAGTCTAGGTTTCCAGGTGATAGCAGAAAAATTTAGTGTGGGAACACCATTTGAGGAATACCAGGGGAAATGTCACATTGTAGTTTTTTGTTACTGTTGTTGTTTTTGTTTTGTTTTGTTTTGTTTTGCTTGTTTGTTTTTGTTTTTCCAGTTGGGTTAATTTTCAGGTAGTTATCTTTTTGTTTTTGTTGTTGGTGGTGGTGGTGCAAGAAAAGTGTTCACTATTATGCCAAAACTGAAAAATGTTTTTTTTTTTTTTAATCTGCAAAAGATCAAAGGTAATATAAGGAATAAGAGGAAAGAATTATCTAGGACCTTCTAAGTTACATTTCCTCATGAAAGAGTTACACATTTAGCTATTTAGTGTTAAAAATATGTAAGGTATGTAGATGAGAGTTGGAAATTGATTAGCTACCTTGTTCTTTGATGGCATTTGTGCATGTAAAAGTATAGTAATTCATGATTATTATTCATATGTAGGTTTGTTGATCATTTATAAAGCATGATAGAAGTATGCAGAAGTTCCATTTGCACTGAAATATCTTTTCCCAGAAAATTACATGCCCTGTTCATATCTGTCATAGAATAATTGATAATGTTTGGACAAAGTCTCTATAGAACAAATTCTCTGTGGAAGTATTTGGCAAATGCCACTAAAAACTGGCTACATAACTTTTTGTAATCTCACATCAACAACTTCCAACCCTCCATACAGTAATATATGTCAGAGCTTGTGAAATCATTGCCATTGAACACATGATGAACAGAGTTATCTTTCACTATTCAAAATTAGAACACTGGAGAAAGAATCCCATTGAGATAACCCTCAAACCAAGGAAATCAGATGTTTCTTTAGATCTTTTTAAGCATTTCAGTACGATATGTTTTAAATGTACTCACTCTTTGTTCCTTTAATTAAAATGTTTTGGGTTATTATTTTTCATTGTTAAATAAACTTCACGTTTCACTCTCATTGCTTTTTCCTAAAAATTAAATTGCACTTGTCTGAAGGGGAAATGACTTCAGTGTGGAATGATGATAAGAGCACAAGAGCTTTCTCATTATTATTAAGTAAAATAGGCATTGCTAGTATACATCTTAGATAAGTAACTCAGATTCTCATGGCTTTCTCTGTTACACATGAGCACATATTACTTTCTCACTTGTACGGGAGACAACAGTATAATCTAGTAGTAAAAAGCACAGGCTGTGGTGTCCAGGTGTTTTGATTCAAGATCAATACTAGCTCTTCCTCATGCTGGGTGATTGCAGAACATTTCTTGTCTTCTCTGTGCCTCAATTTACTCATCTAAGAAGGGCACAGCAATAGCACATACCTACAGAGTTGTTAGGATGAGTCATTGGTGTATTAATTTAAGTACTTGGCAATAACCTCGCCTGGGGCCCAACAAGAAATAAGTAATTAGTAGTCATTGTACTAATACAATAGTATTAGTTATTTTAGTGTAATAGTATTAGTATTAGCCTGCAGTATTATACTAATTGTATAATTATTAGTATTGTGCTAATTAGTGGTATTAGTATGAATTAAGTTATTTTTAAGGTTAAAATGGGATATACATGAGTACAATACAAAAACCAAAAAGGGAAATGTGTGTTGTCATGTTCACTAAACAAAGGAGTGTAGAGACATTTGAGATTCACCTATTTAGTAGCTTTTCTCCTTTATACCAAATGACATCTCATTTTATTCCTAGCCTGAAGATCACATTTTAAAACAAAGCCCCAGAGCAGAACAAATTGCTCTCTGAAACATATTACATTGCCCACAGTTCTTCAAATGTTCTCAAAGGGCTTTTTCAATATAAAAATGTAGGAGCCTTCAATGGTACCAAACAATGACAGTGCTACCTTTTAGTTAGAAACTAAGTAAATTATATACAGCAATAGTCGAATGCAGACTGAGTTGTTCACAGTATTTATTCAGAAGATTAGTCTTCATTTGAATGTTTCTTAAATCTAATGACTGCTTCTTATTCCTCCCCCACCTGGATATTATTCTGTGTGACACAACTGTAAATACAATTAATAGAGAAAACTAGAAGGGGTTATCTTTCATCATGCTGTGTATCAGTCTAACAAGAGATGATGTCCAATGGTCCTGTCAGTCATGCAGAAACAATTTCTGAAATCTTATTTCAGTGTCCAGAGGAAGAATATTCCACATAGGAATTAAGCCAAGCAGTACTTCATAGTATTTAGCTTATGTTCTGTATGGAATATGGTAAAGCTTAAGTGAATGAATGACTAACAAATCATCTATATTGACAGGTAAACGATACAGGGCAAAAGTAAACAAATGCATAAACATTTAGGCATTTTTCAAAGAAAACAGTTTCCTTTGGACCTCTTTACCGTTACCATGTCCAATAATATTCTCATGTACCTTTCTTGTCTCATGACCTCTGGATTTTCTGGTGAAAATTTTGAATAATTAAAAATCACCAGGATACAAAATAAATAGTGAAGAAACAAAAACTAGATTTTCTTCCCATTTAACAAATAGATTGATAGGTGCAACAAGTCAAAAAATAGACTCTTGCATACATTAAATGACTTCAATGTTAACTTGAAAAATATCATTGCTACAGTAGGACAACATGCAAACTTTTGTCTTTTAAGCGGCTGGTTATTTGTCTTCTATTTGTTCTTGTTGCTGTCACTTTATTTCTGTAAAGCCACTTTCTATTTATGACTTTACAAATAAATTTGAAAAATAATTATATTATGTATTATAGATGCTTCATGAGAATTTTTCCTAAACAATTTATTGGTTCTGCTTGGCTAACCTCTTTTTCATCCTTTAATGCTTCCTCATGTTGAATGTCATATAAATTTTAGAATGCAGTTGCATGTAATAGAAAAACCCTGTGCTATTTTTCTGTCCCCAGAGCCACAGACCTGTACATTGAAAGATTTTCTCTGTGCCAATGGGGACTGTGTTTCTTCAAGGTTCTGGTGTGATGGAGATTTTGACTGTGCAGATGGCTCTGATGAGGTAAGCATCCCTACAAACTCAAACAGAAAAGAAAGCAGTACTTTAGAACCACATTTAGAATTACAATTATTCAGTCTGATAAGTGTGACCTAGGACCACTCTGAAATGTGCTTTGCTTCTGACACACTGAGATAAGTATTAATCCATGTGCTGTGCTGCACACACCTGCACAGGGAATAATTCTTGTGTTGCTATTGACAGTTAATTTTATAGTCTGTTTTACCTCAACTGGTGAATGGCTGTGCTGGGAATAGGATGTTTGGAAACCCTATTCCCTGTAGCTGATGCCCTTGCCATCTGTGAAGTTGTTCATACACTTCCTGAAGTATTTATAGTCAAGACTAATATTTTATGCATTTTAAACACTTTCTTCTCCCAGGTCCCTTTTTTTTTTTTTTTTTTTTTTTTTCCGTAGATACAGTCTTACAGGCTTTGGTGTGGATCATCAATTTTACGAAACCACAAGTTGAGCTTTGCTGAGGTAGTGAATCACAATCCATTTATAATAAAGCCTATGTGTATACATAGCTTTAGGTAAAAGTTTAGAATTTCTCTGTATAATTCCACAAACTTTATTGTGTTAACATTTTTATGCTTATATTTCTGATAATTATTCCATAATATTTAAAAAAGTAATAAACAATACATGGTTACATTTTTTTTTTTCTCAATCAAATCCCTGAATCTCCAATTTCTCTCTTTCCATTGTCAAGGAGAAATCCAGTAAAAGTGAATTTTATGGATTTTCTCTGTTTACTTGGTTATCAGCAATACAGGGCTTGCACAGTCAAGTCCAAGGAGAAAAAGAGGTTTTAAATCCTCAGTGGACCCTGTATCTCCTACAATACAATGACTCCCTAGAGCTCTGCCACTCTGGTTGGCAAACATACAAACCTGCCCCTCATAAAGGTTGCCTCACTGAATGGAGACTGGGGAGGATCCCCCATGCAACTCCAGAGGCTTCTGCATTTCAGGTCTAACTCCCCCAAACGTCCACTGACTTTCTTTCTCTTTGGGGAACATTGCATCCCTAAAGTTTATAAGACCCATGTAAACACTTTCTTTCTTAGTCCTTAGCCATTCTTACTAGGATTCTCTCACCATTATGGGAAAATTGCCCTAATTACATTAGAATTGTAGATTTTGGAAACAATATAAGTACATTCTTACACGAAGGCCAAAAAACCTAAACCTCAATGTTGCAAAGGGCTTGAGAAGGTGAAAAATACCGCTTCTACTTGTAGACTATCCACAGCACAGAAATCAGAATAATTTTTAAAAAAAAATCCACAGTGGAGCAAAACATTTTTATACTGACCACCTGACTCCCCACATACTTGCTTAGCAATTACTCGTTCAAAAATGATATCAACATTCCCAAGTCAGTAAAACATATTTAATGTAAACTAATTCATGTCATAGACATTTGTTTTGTTTTAAATGTTTCACAAGCTTGTGTAATCTGTGAAACATCAAGTGGTGAAGATACATTGCTTAAGGCTTATGATGTCATCCTGTATGTTAGTAGTGATGCAAGGCACACTAACAAAATGAAAATCTTATTTTAATTTGAACCTTTCTTAAAATTTTATTCAAGTCAGAGTAATCATCTTTACTAATGGCATTTCTCTCAAAGCATAAGTTAGTTGGTTGATGTAGTTTTTCTTTTTTTATAGCAAAATATATATCCATATTCTCAGACATTTTTATGATAATGCTGCAAGGGAATCAAATTAACTCTTTAAAAAGTGAGTTTTGACTGTATTTACAATCATTTATTACAGTTCATGTGAAATGAAGTGGCTAACAGTATAGGCAGAAATTTCTCAAGTCTAGAGTACAAGTTGCTTTGACAAAAATCAGACAATAAGCAAGCAAAAAAACAAAAAGGAGAGAAAGCATGATTGAATGCAAGAGAAGCTTATATTGAGAACAAAAGTTGAGAGATTTTTGAAGATAAATTTTTGTATAAATGTGAACTCATAGTGTAATTACTTTGTTATTGTATAGTCACAACAATAAAAAAAATGAAACTTGGATCAGCTTAATTTCATATCAAGTTTATATCTCTCTGACGTATGCTGAGAAGTTTTTTTTATAAGTGACTTAAAATTATAATAGTTGGTCTCTGCACTAACATAATATACTGCAAGTACAAAAAGAAATGTCAAAGCATCTTATACTGCATCTGTACACTTTCTAGTAATAATATTTTGCTAATTTGCAAGTTATGTAGGGTCATTCAAATGCTTAATTATATTAATGTCACTAGCACTCAGAATTTTAGAGTAAAATGGAATACAAATGTAGAAATAAATATTAAATAAAAATCCTGTAATATTTAATGTATGACTATCAGAATGTGATTTTGATTATCTTTCTCTTTCTTAAAATATATAATTCCTGCTTCTGATACTGAACATTTGACAATGCAGCAGAAAGGATTATTCCTAGTACTTACAGAGTGACTTATAAAAAACATTTTCCAACTAAAGGAAATAAGGATCCTATGAGAAATGTCTAATTCTAGGTCTGAGAAAGGAAACTGAGCAGCTCATCTTAGGGTCTTAGGATGCAAGACTTGTGATGTTTAATATATGCAGGGATAAACTTAAAGTGACTACCACTGACAAAAGGGATAATTTTAGTATCAGAATGGCAAACAACTGTGACAGATTGAAGCACAATTGAATCTACAGTTTCAATGCAATCTTTACAAAATTATTATCCACATAAATATAAATTATCCACATAAATATAAACACAATCCTAAAATGTATATGGAAACATAAAGTCCCTACATATACAAAGCTATCTTGAGCAATAAAAATGTTTGGGGGCATTACTCTATCTGACTTCAAAATATACTTCAAAGGTATGATAATCAAAACAGCATGATATGGGTGGTATAAAACAAACAACATAGAACAATGGAACAGAATAGAAAAACTAGAAGCAAACCCACATATCTTCAACCAACTGATTTTGACAAAGGTGCTCACAACCCACATTGCAGAATGGACAGGTTTTTCTACAAGTGGTCTGAGGCAAATTTGATATCCATGTGAAGAAGAATGGAACTAAACCCCAGTCTCTTAACAAAAGGATTAAAGACTTAAATATAAAGCTCAAAATCATTAATGTGTAGAAAACATAGTGAAAAGGCATCAAGAAACTGGAATGAGCAAATATGTTTTGGAACAAGACCCAAATATCACAGAAAATGAGCAAAATTAGACAAATGAGATTATTTCAAATTAAAATATTTCTGCAGAGCAAACAGAGATAATTAACAGAGTGAAGATACAACTTAGAAAATGAAGAAAACAGTTGCAAATTATACATCTGAAAAGCAAAAGCAGAAGCAAAATCCTAAAAAAACCTAATTTAAAAATCTACAGTAGCCCTCAGTAGACATTTCTCAAAAGAAGTTCTATAAATAGGCAACCAGTGTTTAAAAAAATGCTTAGCATCATTAATCATCAGGGAAATGCAAATTGAAACCATAATGAGCTATCACCTGACCTAGTAAAATAACTATTATTAAAATATTCAAAGACAAAGGTGCTAACAAAGATGTGGAGAAAAGGGATTCCTTGCACATATTTGGTGGGAATGTAAAGTAGTACAGTTGTATTGAAAAACAGTATAAAAGTTCCTCAAAAAGTTAAGAATATATCTACTGTATGACCCAGTAATCCCACTAGTGGGTATATATCCATAGGAAATAAAATCTGTATGTTAAGAGACATCTGCACCCCTATGTTCATTACAACATTATTCACAAAAGCCAAGAAAGTAAAATAATTGAAGTATCCAACAACTTCAATGGATAGATAGAGAAAATATGGTACATAAACACAATGGAATACTATGCAGCCATAAAATATAATGAAATCTTGCATTTGTGACATTAAGCATGAATAGATCTGGGAATCATTAGGTCAAGTGAAATACATCAGTCACAGAAAAACAAGTGCTGCATGATCTCACTGATATATGGTATCTAAAAGAGTTAATCTCACAGAAGTTGAGGAGAGAATGGTGGTTACCAGAAGCTGGAGAAAATAAAGATGAAGGGGGACAGGAAAGATTGTTAAAAGTTGCTGTTACATGATAGAGTAAGTTTGGATGTGCTATTGCATAGTAGGTTGACCATAGATAATAATAATGAACTATACATTTCAAAAAACTAAAAGAAAGTATTTTGAAAGTTTTCACTATGAAGAAATGATTAATACTTAAGACAGATATTACTCTATTTTGAACATTATATTACATGCATGCATATTGAAACACCACATGGTACTCCATGTATATATACAATTTTTGTGTTTCTGTGCATCACTTAAAAATAAAATAAATTTAAATTAAAAAGAAGTAAGAAATATTTTACTTAATATTCATTTATATATGTTTTCTAGATATGCTAGTCCCTATATTCATTCAGTAGTTTTTATTGTGTGCTTATATGTCCTAGACATAAACTGAGTGGTGAAAAAAGTGCATGAAGTCTTTTCTCATGGGAAGTTCAAGGGTTACTTCTCTAGTGACTTTCATATCAGTCACATAAGCTGGCTTAGCCTTCAGACATTCCACATTTCAAACTACCTTTACCCATTAAAAATTACTTAGGTAGTTCCATCTCTGGAAGCTTCCTCTGTGAAGCCCTTTCTAAATGTTCCATATTCATTTATCTTGGCAATTAATACACTTTTGCTACAATTGTGAATTAGTTGTTGGTCTTTCATACCATACTATGTGTTTATCAACTGCAGGGAGTAAATCTTGATTTTTTTTATTGTTATGTAAGAAAGTCTCTTACAAATGGCAAACCTTCATTATATGGGGAAAAAAGGAAGAATAAAATTGATTATATACCAGGTGGTCTAATGAAACTGCCATCAGCAAAAAGTAAATAAATGAAATCTAGGAAGTCAACTCTTCTTCCTTATATGGGGGTGAAACTGAATAGAAATAGTCATAATTTAACTCTGTTCACACTTTGGGTTTCCACAAGCTGTGAGCGTATTGCACCATTTGTAGAAGGGTCAGGCAAATATAGTTTGACAAAAATAGATATTGCTGTACAAGAGAAAAATACCATCAAGGAAGATACTTCACTAGAGCACCCATTTGACCAATGTTTTAGACTTCAAGATGATGAATTTCTGGTGGATCTTTCATTTATCTCATATAAAGCATCAAAGGATCCCAAAGGTAATTCTGCTGTCTTGTTTGACTTCCAAATAAAGCCTGGGCGCAGGCCAGCAGAAATGACAATTGTGACAGCTCATTTCACAGTTCTTTAACAACAAGTGTCTGAAGTGAAGAGGAGATTTATGAACACTAGCTAAGTTGTAAAAGGACTAGTCTAGAAGAAATGAAATAATGAGAAGGGAAAAAGAATGCTAGAATCTTGCCAATGAAAAACAGATCAGATTTGCATTAGGATTATGATTTGTTTCACATTCTATCCACAACATCACCCATAGCCCCAGCAAACTGGATATAGTTGCTTAGAAATAATTTTAACCCTACTATTTCTCCCAAAATCTTCAGCATTGCGTGCAACTACTAAAATTCCATTACCTCTTATCTATCAATTAAAGAATGATACACTGACAGCAATTTACTTAATATGATGAAGTCTCAGAATTTATGTTCTTTTTTCTATTTCTGTTTCACTAGGGCTCATAAAGACAGATGAAAGTAGAAAATTATTATAATTCGGTTGTGTAGTTACAGGCTGGAAATATGACCATCTGAACTATGTGTATGTGTTAAATGTGGTTTCTAAATGCCTTACTTTCTACAAAGATGTTCTCTAGCTGTCTTCTGAGTTTGTAGATATTTTTAAATGTTTTTAATTTTAATTATAACTGTGTTGGATTTGACAGAGAAATTGTGAAACAAGTTGTTCCAAAGATCAGTTCCAGTGTTCCAATGGCCAATGTATATCAGCAAAGTGGAAATGTGATGGCCATGAAGACTGTAAATATGGGGAAGATGAGAAACACTGTGAGCCAGGTAAAAATGATTGAAGTGGTTTTTAATTTAGCTGACATTTTAACTTGATATGATTTAAATTCAAGAAATGATACACAGAAAACAGTAAGAGACACAGGCACTTATTTACTGATTTTAGGAAATAATCTGAAATATCTGTGGATAAATTAATTGGTGTGCCCTTCATATGTTACAAAAGTTTTTTTGGCAGATGATAATTATGCATGGGATCCAAGAATTATGCAGCCAAATTTGATTTTCTGGTTTCTATATCTTATCACACCATTTGGAATTGTTTTCCCAAATAGCAAAATGAAATATGTTGAAAATGTAAGTATGATAAAAGTCAAGTTTTCAGTTATGGAAATTGAGGTTATAAGACAGAATGCAGTTTTTTAATGTGCCAGGTAAGAAGCAGCATAGTGTATTGTTTGTATTTACATCTTGGGCCAAAATCAAATTATAGGGCTGGGATTGTGGCTCAGCGGTAGAGTGCTGGATGCCGCACGGGTGGGACCCGGGTTCGATCCTCAGCACCACATAAAAATAAAGACATTGTGTTGTGTCCATCTACACCTAAAAAAATAAATATTTAATAAAAACCAAAATATAATCAGGAAGCAAAAGCAAGTATACAGAGAAACCATCTAGTTTCTGCATTTCTATTCTTAAATTTGACTCTATACATATGCTCATGAAAACATTTAATTTTTTTACTTGGTTATTTTAATTACATTATCTTTTAAAATAATGTAATTATTTTTAATAATGTATTATTATACTGGGGAACTTCATACTACAGTGTGTGCATAACCATGAAAACATTACCTTGAGAGACTAGGCCAAAGAAGCAGATAAACAAAACACAACAGATTTTCATTCTGCAATATTTACCTAGAGTCCATAGTGCTAATTGATCACATCTTTCTTTCTCATCAAATCTAGACATGTTCTTAGATTTTTTATTAATACAGATTCCCTAGGCAAATGATGCCAATTAAAAAAAATAAAAACTCAGGGAAAAGATTTTTAGCATTCTTGAATAAAGCAATTCAGACCACAAAATTATTATGCACGTACATTTGTCCATTAGTGATCTAACATAAGGTCAGGACCCTCCAGGCATGAATGCAAGCCTATAAAACCCAAATTGACAGACAAAGGCAGTTGTCATAATTATTATAATCATTAACTAGATGAGCTAGTAGTAGTAACTTATTTATCTCTTTGTTTTTTTTAATCTGTGTCTCATAAAAGAATTCTGCAAATTCTAGAGGCTCTCTTAACTATATATGTATTTATGTTTAAACTCTCAAAAACAACAAACTTCTTAAAACTTTTTAAATATTATATTTATGTCATAAGAAGTCAAATAATATCTCTGTACCTATGAGACCATGCCAAGATTTTCACATTTTGCATTACACAATTTATATCTGAATGAACTTTCCTAACAGCTATTTAATATTTTTGTAGTTTTGAAAATCATTTGAGACTTCCCTTTTCAAATAAATTAAAATTGTGCAAAACTAATTTAACTCTTCAAAATCAAAGGGATTGAAGAAATAAAGTTTTTCCCACTTTTGTTAGTCTAATGAGTGAAACCTTTACTACATAAGTTATGATATCATTGAATTTTAACATTATGAAATAATTTTATAAAGCATATTAAAATGAATCTTTAATACCAGTTATTGAATATAGTTTAAATAATGTCCACTCTTCTTATTGTCATCCATGTATTCATATTTTCATATGCCTACTTCCTCCCAAACCATTCATTACTTTAAATATATCTAAATCTCAACTTTATAATTGTATTCAGCTTCTCCTACGTGCTCATCAAGTGAATATATATGTGCCAGTGGAGGATGTATTTCAGCATCTTTGAAGTGTAATGGAGACTATGATTGCACTGATGGTTCAGATGAGGTAAAAATCTATTGTTGTTTGATTAATATCTTTCAATTACCTTCAGTAAGAATGGGAAAACAAAGTAGAGACAGAACCTTGATCCTTAGCACTGTCTGAAAATATTAGACAGATACACTGAATGCAATCATTTCAGCATATCCTCAAATCTTTAGACTGTATATATACTGAAGCCCATTKTCATTTGTAGAGGTTATGTTTATTAAGCTTAAATAAAATAAATCCCACTCTGTGATAAATCTCCAATATTATAAGCTGCTTGCTTATTGTGCCTATGATTGTATCATTATCATTAATGAAAACTGCAGTACCCATTTGTATTTGAACAGATGGATTGTGTGACTGAATGTAAGGAAGATCAGTTTCGATGCAAAAATAAAGCCCACTGTATTCCAATTAGATGGCTGTGTGATGGAACTCATGACTGTGTGGATGGCAGTGATGAAGAGATCTGTGACAGAGGTAATGTTTTTGTTTGTGCTGTAAAATGAGAAAATGAAAATTAAGGTACCATGTAGGATATACAGCATGTGCAAGAGCCAGAGAATTGAACAATTAGATAATTTTATTCTTTCTACTTCCTTTACGTAGAGGCTTGTTCTAAATAGGCAAAATCCAGATCATTTTCAGACAGAATATCTCAGTCGTTCATAACAAAGTCAACCCAAATGCAATGTTTATTGGGTGTGTTTAATTAGAGTTTATTAAGTGTGTTTTCAGACTAGAAGCTGGGATGGAAATAAAGATATGTGAGAAAGAAAGAATGTAACTACTATAGTAATTATTGCAAAAATATTTTCTGTATTCTTTGAATGGCTTGTCTTCCAGGTTGCTTACTTAAGTTTAAATGAACAAGAACACCTGGTACACTAAAATGCACATGTTCATGTGCTAAATGATGTGTAGGTCATAAGTTGTGCCTCAACTCTCCATCTCAACATATTGTTGAGAAGATGATCTATGTTTCTATCAGTCTGGAAAATAATTTTCATTTTTTTGTGTATGTTTTCCAGCTATAAGAAGACCATTTTATGACAGATAACAACTTTTTGGTTGTAAATTACCACATTAAAAGCTGTAATTTTTACTATTTTGAGTTAATAAGAATTAACAAAAGCAAAGAAATTGTGTGCTGAAGCTTGAAATGATCACAAATTATGTAATTTTTATTTTAACATTGTTGAGTATGCTATTTAAATTTAATTTTTTTGTGACTTGCTTACAAAAGTTTCTCAAAAAACTTTTTATTTCAGAATAGTTGGAATATGGTCAACAGTGATGATATTAAATACTGCCACATGATGCAAGGCATTTGAAAATGCACTCAGCACTTATATTCTTTAAATATACCTAAAATATTTACTTCTGTTTGTTTGGTCATTCAAGGAAAAATGAATATTTTCTACTTTCTTAATATTAGATTGGGTGTTTATGATGAGAAATATCTCTATCCCCCAATGATAAAGGGCACTTTTAGAAGAAATACAAGATACCTTCAAAATCTGAAGTGCATTATAGATGGCAATAAAATATTAAACACCACTATGACTGTTTCTTCCTTTGGTTAACTTCTCACATGTACTTTTGCGGATGTGTGTGGGTGTGAGTGGGTGTGAGTGCATGCGTGCATAGTACTGGGGGTGGAACTCAGTTGCTTACACATGCTAGGCAAATGYTCCACTACTGAGCTACATCTCCAGATTTCACACTTATATTTTTTACTTGATAATTTTAGGTACCACAAACATTTTGTATGGTCTGACAGCCACAACTCATTTGTACTCATGTTCAAAGACTTTGGGATGATAACTATGCCACTYCACATAATAACTTCTATCACTGCAGCTAGTCTAGTTCCTTCTCTTAGTACTTGTCTATTTTTGTTAAACCACCTAATTAGTGTCCAATAAATAATATACAGTGCTGCCAAGTTCATCTTTTTTAAATGTAACCATTGTCAATCTTTACTCAAAATTCCCTGGCTACATAGGACCCACTCAACAGTAAGGGTTATAAGAGAATTAATTACTAGATTTCTATCTGCTATTTCTTTTTATTGATCATATCCTGAACAAACTGGAGAATTTGAAATAGTTTTCAAATTTAAAAGTGTTCTACTAATGTTTAATCTTTATAGTCTAAAAAAAATAAAGTCAAGAGCCTTTAATTCAATGATTTACAAAAATGTCAAACACCTCTCACTTATACTTCTAATTTTTCTTAGGATTTTTTGCTGCTACATAATTAAGTTCTAATAAATTACCTTGTTAGTTGAAGTATTTGATCCTGTGTCGATATATCCTATGTCATGACAAAATTCATATTTTCCATATTTAATTTACACTCAGGAAGTGGCTTAGGCATTAGATAAAATATATTTMAAGGCTTTCAGAAAATGGAATGCCAGAATAAACATCTTTTTCATCAAATCTCACTTCTACTCATCTCAAATATGGATCCATGAGCCAACAAGAGCTTAGTAATGGGGCCTGGAAGTTAAGAATGATGTAGAATTGGTTTGGCACATTTTCTCCATTAGTCAGTTTTACTAGTTTTCTTTAAATGACTAACCCCAAATACTATGGAATTAAAAGCAGCATTTATGTTTTTGAAAARCAAAATATATGACCTCAGTGCTTGTTTTAGCATGAGCTTTCAAATTTTATTCTACTGTTTATGGCATTTTGGTAAGAAAGATGGAGAGGTATTCTTTTTAATAATCATGAGCTTAAAAATGTGCAAACTATTTATGTAAATTATAAAATATTATCATATATTAAAGCTTCTCTCAATCCAAATTAAGATGAGACTCTAGATGCTTATTTGCTATGATGATGCACTTGACCAGAATTCTACAAACCTGCAAGGGCTCAGTTAAAATTCAGACATCCATTGTTAATTAACATACACATTTCTATTTTTCTAATAACCTCCTGTTGAGCTGATCAAAAACATGACTAGAAAACTAGAATTTTAATCCAGTCAATCTCCTTAAATTATACCATTTTTGTTTTTTGTGTGTACTTCATGCCACTTCAAAATAAAGCATTTTAAGTGAGATTCAGGTTATCACAGTAACCCCATGATGCCTTTTTTTGAAATGCAAATCCCATATAGTACAACATGAAGTCCTTAATAGGGTATCACAAAACCTTTGCCTTTCTGTTACAATTGTGATTTAATTTATATTTCTCTTCTTAATAAAAACAGTGGCATGTCCAATGCTCTTATGGAGAAAATTATAATTTTACCTAATATAATCCTTAGGGAACTCATTTTTTTCCTTTTAACAAAAATGATGTGCTACAAATAGAATTTTCTTAAATAATTAGAGGATGTCAAGAGTTCATTCACAAACTGTTTGAATTTAATTCATTGTAAAATAGAATAGACGTTTTGTCATTAGAATCTTTATTCAGAGAGAATATAATTCTCTCCTTCATAGTCTGTAGATTTTGATTTTGAATTAAGGAAACATCTCAAACTGATATTCATATGTTTAGTTTCTTTAATACTAAAGTTTGCACACGTTATCTTCTTTATTGTTGTTAGAGAAAAAAGTTGCTAGACAATAGTATTTTTTGTTGTTTGGGGTTGAGTAATGATGTCACTAGATTATAGCCTTATTCAGGTCAGTGTTGCATGTTTGAAAGAACAGAACACAGACTGATGTACGACTATCACAGGTCTCAGATATTGGTAGTCACCTTGGTGCATTCACTAAGGACTTGCTGCCATCTGTAGTTCTAAGAGATTCCAGCATAAGCTGTCACAGTTCTGCTAAGCAATTTTTCAAAAAAAATTGTTTGTAGCTTTTCAAATTAATATCTTATAAGATCTTAGTATCAGCTTTAACTATCACACAAGTTTCTAAGCCAGGTACCCGTCTTTCCCTAAAAATGTCTTTACTATTAACTACATCTAGCTTTTTAAAAGTTGACCCTCTCCTTCATACTTCCAATCTATGGCCAATCCATTATTTTGCTCTAACTCTCGAGTCCTTTGTGTTCTCTAGATTCTTGGGGAATTTTGTTTCTCCTGTGATTTGAAATTTATCTTGGCTGCTGAGTAATTTCAGAGGCATTTCAATGCATTCAAGCATCTGTTTTCCTTCTTACACAAACCAGGTTCAAGCAACTAAGGAGACTTTCTCCTCTCATTCATTTCCTATGAACAAGATATTTCCACATTTTCTATGACTTCTTTCTCTCTTTCAAAAACCAACTACAATAATTCCACCAAACACTCCACCACTTCACTAAATCTACTCAGCATTATTATTAAAATGCACGTTAATACACTTTTTCCATGTATTGTCTAATGCTACTCTTTTCAAATATTTCTCTAAGTACTCTCATTACTATTTCTTACTCCCTTCTGTGTGGAGAATTTATCTTTCCAAGAGACTTTCAGTCTTTCTGTGATGCTTTCTTCCATGTTCTTTCTACACTTCATATAATGATGACATTCTGTTCCTTCTGATATGCACATATATAGTGTGGAAATCTATTTTATATTTCAGACACATTTATCCCTGAATATAACAAATGGTTCAAAGAGTTGCATGCAATCCAAAATATATTTGCTTGGTACACACAAAACCCCAAATGGAGTAACATGCCTGACTACTCACTCTTCTTGCTACCCTCATCCACTAGCCATCAGGTCATGAGGAGCCAATCATTTTAAGAGCTCTCAAATGTAACTTCTATAAATCAAGTTACTGTCATTTCTCTTCTGCAWCTCGCTCCCCAGCTTCAATTTTTTTTCTTTTTTTTTTTCTTCTAGGCCTTATTTTTTTCTCCATCTTGATTTCCAAAATCCCAATAGCAAAGCCAATATTTTCATTCTAAAATATTCATTTTATAAGTAGACTTTTTGCCATTGAAAGTGATTTAGATATTTGTGGGGCAAGTCAAAACTCAGAGCAAGAATAGTTATTTGACTTTATGATTGTTGGTTTGTTCTTTTCTTCAAAGTGCATTCACAAGATAAACAATGGATATTTCTGTATTTTCTAGGCTTATAAGATTGACCACTTTTTTTCCCCCTCAAAACCCATGTTCTAATGAACATGTCATTTTAAAACATATTAATACTTTAAGTCAGTGGAACCAAATTAACCAAATTATCCCAGATGTCCACATCTCTTATCTTACATGTGAATTAAAGTAGTGCAATACTATGAGAACACTCTTATSTAGCTTAATTCTAAATTCCCAGATTTGTGTTCCTACTCCAGGTACTTCTTGAAAATATAATTCTATAGATTAATCATGCTTCTATTGTAACATATGTAGGCCCCAAGTCTCAGAAAAATTAATAAGCTTATTCAATGCAAGGAAAGAACCTACAGTCTGAATACCTAAACCACTGAAAACTCCACTTTCTCTTCCAACACACAAGTTTCTTATTTCTTTTTTTTTTYYTTTTTTTTTTGTGTCTGCTGGATATACTTGACAGTTTTATGTTCTAATATTTTTTATGTTATAGTATTCTAACATAATATAATGTTCTTTTATAATCTTGTATTTCTGATGCTTTTTATTTACATGTGGAGAAGGGAAAAATAAAACCTTTTTAAACTATAAAAATATACGTTGTTGTATAGTTTGTATAGAAAAAAAAATATTGCATGATAAGCCCAAATTTCTATTCTTTTTATAAAATTATTTCACTGTGACTTCAATTTTTTAATTTTAATAAGTCAGTATGTATTTTATATACAAACAAATTACCCTCTAGCAGAGGAGTGTCTAGAGTAAAAGAATATTTAATAACAAAAGCTACTAAATTTAAAAACCTAAATTATTTATGCTTAATAACATAAAATGTGATATAAACATAAAATGATAATATAGATTTAAATGACTTTCTGTCATCTTTCAGTATTCTCTAAACAAAATATGATATGTACAGTTGCAACATGAGAATATTTTCATTTGAAAAACAAAATAAACAAACAGAAAACCAAAACAACAACAGCAACAAAAAAAAAAAAAAACTTGGCACATAACTGGTTCCTAGTAATATGCAGGAAACAAATATAAGGAAGCCAGAAAATAATTAGAGGGATGTGTTTCCTGATGTCTGGCACTTCTAATGCTCTCTGTCTCTTTCATTTTAACATAAAGGAGGAAATGTATGTAGAGCTGATGAATTCCTTTGCAACAATTCCCTTTGCAAACTGCATTTCTGGGTGTGCRATGGAGAAGATGACTGTGGAGACAACTCTGATGAAGACCCTGATATGTGTGGTATGGCATGTCACATGGCTCTAGATGGCACTCCCCTCCCCTGATCTAAGGCACTGGTGTGAGTCAATGAAGTGAAGAGGTGAACCACAAACTCTGAATCCTTGGGGCTAGCTAGACAAAATATAGCCACAGATACAGCTTTTATCCAGGTAGTAAAGATATGACCTGTTCAAAGTTCATGACTATAGACAGCCCTTCTAAATCTAAGCTTGCACATGTCAACACTATTCAAATATATACTGTCTGTGTGGGAGGGTTTGGAGTAGTTTAGCTTTTGAATTGAGTAAGGTACATATAGGGTTTTGGCTTCACACAGTATTGAAGTTTCAGGCTAAAAATATTTAATAGGAAAGTAAATGGAAAAAATATGAATAATAAGATTATATATCACCACAGTTACCCACCAATGAAATTGTCTAGAGAAGTTATAAATGGGTAAATAGAAATAGAAATAAAGATAGCTAGTTAGAGTATATATAATCACAAGTGTTATTCAGGGTAGAAATTATTTAAAATKTAATCCCCCAAATCTTAAAACAATAATAATTTATATAAATTCAAGTCATTCTCATCTGAAATTTATAAAGCATGTATTTAGGCAATGAACAAATAAAAATCTACAATCGAGTATACCAAATGAAGGAATTCTTTTATTTTTATAAACTTCTTTTCAGTCCCTCATTCATCTTATCTACTCTCAACAAGAAAGTTAATTTCACCTTTAATTTGAAGGAAGATACAATCATTTTAGATATAATTAACTAGCATATCAATTGAATTAAAGAAGGTATACAAGGGGTTTATACACTTGAATTAATTGTTCTATTGGGTGCTTCAAGTTAAAGCTAAGTATCTGGAGTGAATTAGTTGCTTTCTTTTTCTTTTTCTTTTTTTCTTCATCCAGGGGCTCTTCATCACTGAGCCATATCCCCAGGGATTTTTGTTTTTCAATTTGTGAGAGTCTGGCTGAGTTGCATAGGGCTTCTCTAAAATGCTAAGGATGGCCTCGAACTTGCCATCCTCTTGCCTCAGCCTCCAGAGTCCCTGGACACCACTCCTGACAAGCAATGCAMTTTGATAGATGATGATACATGACAACTGATGTTTATGTTGGAAAAAGGAAGACAAAACAAGGAGGTAGTTTTATTTTTACAAAGATTTAAGAGGAAAAACACAATGTTTTTGGAGAACATTTTCTAAATTCCATGAATGATATGACTAAGTTTTCTTATCTAATGTTAAAAATAGACTTTATAGAATCACAAGGGTTTAAAAATAGACTTTATAGAATCACAAGGGTTTATATTATTTTTGAAGCATAATTTACCAAAAATATGAGAACTTATCTACCAACATCAACCCAGAAGCTATTATATTTCTAACTATGTATGTAGGTATGTGTGTATACATATGTGTWTGTGATTTTTCCATTCTTTATTCCAAAAGACAACAAAATCAATGGAATACGAAGTGGTTGGTAATTAATTAAACTGTGGTCTTGAGAATCATAGACTTTGGAACTATTTACAGTGTCAGGAAGTGACTTTCAGAGGGAATACCACAAATTATAGCTAGACAAACTTATAAAATCTGATTTTTTGAGCTTCTTTCACAAACATCTCAGTCCTCCATGTCAACATTTAGTAAAGCCACTATGTGCTACAGAATATTCTAAGTAATTGGGGTAAATAATAAAAAGCACATGATTCTCTGTTGACAAGGAAATCTTAATCTAGTTAGAAGAATAGTAACAACTTTCATACATTAGATTTGAAGCAATGATAGAATGAACTAAAAAGAATAGTTCAAAGACAGCAGAAGAAATAAGATGAACTCTGCCTAAAGGGGAATTCAGAAAGCTGTAGTTATGTGAGATATAGATTAAAACCACCTTAGGCAAAATGTTAGCAAAGAAAAGTATCATTCATATGTTCAATACATTTTTTAAGCTATTGATGATGATTAGTTTTGGTGATATAATGATGAGAGAAACAGAGATGGACTCTGATCTCATAGGGCTCAAAATCTAGTGGAAGATTGTCCCAAATAAGTGTAATTATAATACACGATACATACAATAAAGAAAAACTAGGGTAATTGATAAAAGTATGGAACAAAGAATTTTGTTAAATTTAAGAAATAGAAAATAGTAACTGAGTTTCAGTCTGAATTATATAGTGCTGCCAAGTAGGTCAAAAGTCCTGAGGCAGAACAAACTACAGCCTAATGGAACTTTTGTGTGTGTGTGTGTGTGTGTGTGTGTGTGTGTGTCAAGGATTGAACTCAGGGTCACTTGACCACTGAGCCACATCCCCAGCCTTTTTTTTTTTTTTTTGTATTTTATTTAGAGATGAGGTCTCATTCTTAATGAATGAATTCTTAATGGAGAAACCCAAAGTTCTTGGAGAGTACAAAGCAAAATAGATAACTGATATAGGATGAAACTAAAGCAACAACAAAAATACCTAGTAGATATAATGTCAACCTTGGTAGATATTTTCAGATTTAGACTAAAAGCATTTGGAAATAGAGGTAGTTCTCTATGTCCATGGGTTCCATTTCTTCTAATTCAACCAATCACTTATCAATTTTTTTGTTTTTCAAATTGTACTGAACAGTTTCTTGTCCTGATCTTTAAATGATACATTATATAACAATGAGTTACAGAGCAGTTCTATTATATTTACATATTGCAAGTCATTTAGAGGTGATTTTAAGTATACAACAGAATGTGGGTAAGATATGTGCAAATATTACACCATTGTCTAAAAGAATATGGGCATCTGCAGATTTTGGATATCTGTAAGATTCCATGCCCAATCCCCCACAGAAACCAAGGCATGACTGTTGTAAAGCAGTCAACTCCTCTGGAGGCACATAGTTGTGTTTTACAAATATTGACAAGAAAGGGACAAGATCAAATAACACTTTGCAGTGCTCTAAGTAAGCTCTGTTAATAGTGTGGGTTAAGATGAGGAAAGCATATGATAACAAAATATAGACAGATTTGAAGGTAATGTAAAAGATTAAATAAATTAAATTACATATAATTGGATATAAGGTGTGTGAGAGATGACATGGTGGAGGGAAATTTGTAGGTTAGTTTTGCTTGCATTTTTGAATGGAGAGGGAATTTAAAAAGAAAAAACAGTTCTGCAAATAAAGATTAAGTGACTGGTTTGGGATACACTTGAGGAGATATTCAGGTAGAGACTTCAAGCAGGCATTAGAGGTGTGGGTCTCAACCTTAAAGGAAAGAGTAGCTCTACAGATACAAAGGTGTACTCTTAATAAATGAAAGTAATAAATACTATGGATTTGAAAAGATTATTCTGGGCAAGAGTGAATTATGAAACAAGGAGAGGACTGAGTGCTACTAAACAATTAATATGAGTTTCTGGAGAGTTACTGATTATGAGACAATTAGCAAAAATAGAGGTAGCACAGAGACATCGAAGTGCTAACATGTTTTGAAAAAAAATGAGACAGTTCTAGGGGAGGTTGGATAAACACAGTTCCAGACCAGGTGAAAAACTTACTTTTAAACAAAAGCAAATCATTCTCCTATTTATGTTATGAAAAATATGAAATGAGTTTATAGATCATGTGTAAATAGAGGTCAATCTATAATTACTTAATAAGGTATTTAGGAATTTCCCACTTTTTAAATTTCTTGTGTATGTGTGTGCATGCACACATGTGCACAGTAGGAAGCATGATTACATACAGAAAATAAAAGCTTGGTATAGTGAAGTTTGGTGAGAACACAAATTTGGGTCTTGTTGTAAAAGGTAGAAAAGTCACACGGCTATAGAGAAATACAGGCTTCTCAGGTAGCACTAGTTAGTGAACATACTAGGTGTCATCACGTGGCCTTGTAGTTTGATGATCTGCAACTTCCTTGGGCTTTCCAGATGCAGATATTGGGAAAACTGACAGTTTTGTTTATCTGATTTTAGATTTTGTTGGATAACTAAGGTAATTCTTTGTGTGAATGCTGAAGTCATCCTGGATGCTGAAATGAATTCAAAAGGAAAAGCAAAACAAAACAAAACAAAACAAAAAAAAGATAGAAGACGGTGTGAAGGACAGTCTTTAATGAATAGAGAGGAAGCAATATTCACAAGACTGATGAAAAGTTGAAATGAGAGGTTTGACCAAATGTTTGGGATTTGTTTTTAGTTTATTTTAAAAATAGAATGTCAGTAAAATTCTGGAAGCAGTKGTAGGAAATGAGCATGTCTTCAAATGTGACATGAGGTTTAAACAAATTATGAGGCATTCCTAAAACAGCTAGAAGGGAGGAGTATGTTTGCAGAAAGACTGGATTTTACTTAAAGCAAGGTCAGGAAAGGACTGTGGCATGCACAAGGAGTTGATATAAAAGCACATTGTTCAAATATGAAAAGAAAACAAAGGGTAAATCTTTAGGAGTGGTTTGAAGGAGGTGGTGATATATCCCATAGGCCATGCAAAGTATCTTAAATTATATACTGAAGGTGAAGAATAATTATAGATGACATGATAACATCAATGTGTTTGATTGATTATTGTCATAACTTTATGAGGATCTGATGGGAAGAAATGAAACTGAAGACATGAAAGATATATCTCTATAAGAGATAACAAAGAGCTGAGCTGTTGTGATTATAAGCACTGGGTATGAACACGAGATAAGTTTCGGAAATATGTCATCAAAATTGGTCACTATTTAGAGTTGAAGGTCAGTGAAAGGGTTGTATTTAGAACAATCCCAGTTTTCTAACTATGATATGCCACTCACTACACTATGAAAACAAGACAAAGCTCATATATGGGTAGAAAGAAAACAGGGGAAGATAATAAGAAATTGAGTGGTGAACTGGTGGGATTTGAAATTCCTCAGGGTATGTCCTATCATCAATTTTGAGATGACAGAACTAGACAGAGGATTGAAAGTCTTCAGGGTACAACAACATGCAGATCAATGAGCATGAATGAGAATATCTAAATAAAGAATATGAGAATAAGAACATTCAGACAATAAGGACAGTGCCCTGGAGAATTTCATATGTAAAGATGAAGAATAATTAAAGCTATTTCCTGCTTTAGGGATGGAAATCTTCAAAATCAATAGTGATAAGAGGGATTCAATTCCCTGGCTTCCATTTTCATTGCTCTCTAAGTTTCTGTCTTTCAGTGTCTCTGCCTCTCAGACACATTAAAAACTAATAAGATGACTTTGTGTGCTTTGAACACATATGTAAACATTTGTTCATTCAGATAGAGAGTAAGAAACCTAGGTATAACACAGTTGGGATATTTTTCTCCTCACTGAATGTCCTACTTTCAATTTGCATCCTGTAACATAAGCCTGGGGAATCTCTATGCTGTGTGAAATTGCTCTTTGAGACAGCTAAATGTCCTGCCATTTTGTAAAAATCATAGACACAAATTAATTTGGTACACCAAGTGAAGCCACCTAAGATAAGCATCTGGAAATGAAACCATGAAGTTTTTCTTGCTTTCTTTGAGGGCTCATTCAAAATCTTCAGCTGTGCCCTCTTCTGCTATTAATGTGAATAACTTGAGTGAGCTTCTATTATCACACATTTTTAGTATCTATTAATAGACAACATTCAAAACAAGTCATTTAGAAAAGCTAGATGACGGATTTGAAAAAAAAAAAAAGGAAAAACAAAGACAAAATATGTTCTTAATAAATCAGTGTACCCAAAGGAGCTATTTTGTTTTTCTCCTTTTTTTTTTTTCAGTTAAATTTCTTTGCCCACCTACAAGGCCGAACAGATGCAGAAATAATAGAATATGCCTGCAATCTGAGAAAATGTGCAATGGGATTGATGACTGCGGGGATAACTCAGATGAAGATCACTGTAGTGGTAAATCTGTTTAATGAGAAATAATTGATTTAGTAGCAACTGCAAGAAAAAACAATGAATTGGGGAGAGGGCTTGAAAAAAGAAAAAAAGTTTCCATGTGGCATGTTTGAGAATATTGGGTTATTTTTTTTTTTTTTGGCCCCAATTTTTTATTTAAGGAAGAGTACAACAAAGGCAAGGATAAGGATTCAGTGGGAGGAGTCTTTCCTGAGTGCTTGCTTAGCGCTGGCTTCYCAGTGTTGAGAATATTTTTTCAGGTACTTGATCTTCTGATAGGTTATAAAAACAATGTACTAAGAATCCATAATATTTGCATAGTAGAGCTCTGTGGGTTTATCCATATTCCTTTTAGGCATTTACTATAAAAATACTGGTCTCCTGGGAAAAACGATTTATTAGTTTAATTTTTTTTCCTTGTTAAAACAGTTGACTGAGGAGGAAGGATTACATAGATTGTATGTGCCCATAATCCCTTTTTCAAAATTTTGAAATTCAAACTGTTTCTAATGGCAAAACTGTATTTAATTCAGTATGCAGCAAAAGTATTTGGAGACAAAACCTAACCTGAACTCATTTGAGGCAATTTATATCACTTTTATAAAATCCCACTTAGAGTGAATATTCAAACATTTTCATGTAGAAATAGAATGTTATTTAGTAAGGGGAAAATAAATTCTCACTTTTTTAAAATTCAAAAAGTTTAGATTTATTTCATCACTTTTTAACTCCAAGAGATTTCCATAAAGGATTGTAGACTCACATATTTCATAGGCTTTCATAGCATTTTCATGGAAAAATGTTGAACATATTATGTGCTCAATAGATTGATTTTGATTCTCTGAAGCAATAATCACTTTTTAAATGATTCTGCAGGCAAGCTTATGTATAAAGTGAGACCATGCAAAAAGGATGAGTTCACATGCAGTAACAAAAAATGTATCCCCATGGACCTCCATTGTGACCGGCTTGATGACTGTGGGGATGGCTCAGATGAGCAGGACTGCAGAATAAGTGAGTCTGTTTTCTGTTAAAGTACATAAATACCCAAGGCCAATTCATGCTTAAACAGGACAAAATTAAAAAAGAAAAAAATTTAAATGGCTATTCTGACAGCCTCAAGTTATCACCTTTGCAAAGCAATGTCACTTAGAACATCACTGAAGCTAATTTCAGAAAACATGAGGTGGTAAAGGTTGATTTTTGAAATGAACATACTTGTTAGAGCTGAAGCTAGGACTTTATCCAAATTTAGATTTTTATATCAATGAAGGAATGCAGATCATTTAGTGTTTCATTTTATAAAGTACAAATTTAGTGTCTTTGAAATTACAAACAGTAATATTTGGTTGAATGATGGCAAAGGTCTTAATCATTTATGCAGTGTTTTAAAAGAATTTAATCTGTTGCTCAGTTATTTTCAAAGAAGATGTCAGTATTTTCTATAGTTATAATGCTATCATCTGTGAGTTATTAAGACCTATGTATAATAATTTCAGGGTGAACTAATGCTTGATATTTGATCTTCCAAATTAAAAAATTGTTGTTTATGTCCAAAATCAGATTGCTTATAAAAGTATTACAAAACATTTCCTACTTATTGATCTTTATTTTCTTCTCATTTATGCATCTAACTTTCTCCTCATTGGGTAGTAAAACAATGCCACCAAGATATGATGACATATATCTCAACTGTAGTGTCATGCCATTAGTTTATTTTCATTAATTATAAATTAATAATTTATAATTATTAATATTATAAATTATAAGAATTTGTAATATTCTTATAATTTTTTAAGAATTAGTGGGGATTAATAGTAGCTACAATTCCAAAAAATAAAGTTCTCATATTCTCAAAACTTTACTCTAAGCAATCCAGAGATGATGCAATACTATCTATATAATATACTCCATTTATTTGCATTCTAAAATGTTTTATCTGAATGGAAAATAAAACAATGAAACTGGAACTGCTCTGCTAGAAATTATAACTAACTCTTACTCTGCCCTAATGATGTTGTACTCCATGACTATCAGCCCAGGCTAAAATTTTAACAAACTACTGTGTTTGTGAGCATTTCCTCACTGTGACCAAAGTACCTCACAAGAACAACTTTGAGGAGGAATGCTTATTTTGGCTCACAGTTTTGGAAGTTTGAGTCCAGCTTCATTTCATTTCATTCATTTGAGTCTGAGAGGAAACAATGTAACAGTCAATGGGCCTGGCAGAGGAAAGCTTCTCAGGTCATGATAGTCAGAAAGCAAAGTTTGGAGGTGGGAGTAACAAGGATAAGATAAACCCTTCTAGGGTACCCACCCAGTGACCACTTTCTCCAGCTAGTTTCCATCTTCCATTAGTCTGCAACTGTCAATGCATTAATCCATCAAATGGTTTAATTTTCTGCAAATGGATTAATCCACTGATGAAGTCAGAGCCCTCATGATTCATTCATTCACTAAAAGCCCCAACTGTGAACCTTGATGCATTGGGGACCATGTTTTCAATGCATGAGATTATTAGGGACATTTCAGATATAAACAATAACACTGCAGATTTAGCCTACTTGCTTTAATAACTTGGTAATACACTTGATTGAACTAGCAAATACTAAATTTAGGAGAGTAATAAATGTCCACATCTCTAGGTAGCTTCTAGGAATGGTTGTGATTCTAGGATAAGTGTATAGTACTCACAATTGGTATCATTATAGAGATGCCTGTCATTCAAGTCATTAATTCATTACTTCTTTGAAAAGGTTTTGTGGCTTGACAACAGCTGTAAATATCAGCTGTTGGCAGCTTGCACTAAACTATATTTATTGTAACTGAGCTCAGTTTTTATTTGCTTCTATGCCTTTCTAAGAAATGAGGGCTTAAATTCAGAGAAGACCATAATTTTCTGCATTTATAAAGAATTATCCATGTAATAATAAATATAAGTTCAAGTCTAAAAAATATAAACTCCAGCTTCAGGAATCAGAGTTATATTAGTTTTGATCATATTTTTAAATCCTAGCTTCCTCTGTATATACCTGTGAAGATAATGTGACTCCATGTGGAGATGATGCATATTGTAATCAAATAAAAACATCTGTTTTCTGTCGCTGTAAGCCTGGATTTCAGAGAAACATGAAAAACAGACAGTGTGAAGGTAGAGTACATTTCCTCAACAGCTTGCTCTTAAATCTTTTGGTTATAAAAAGACTCCCAAGGCTGCTAAATTGTAAGATGACATGCGATTGATTTTCATCAAAATGGTGTGTATCTATGGGATAGCATTTCWCTTATGAGAGGAAAAGTCTCTGGGTTCAAGCACCTGTTTGTTTGTATAGCTCAGCTATCACTGAGGCTACAAAGCCTTTTCTATAGCAAATGCAAACCTGTAGGATTTTCAAATGTTATGTTATTCTGTTTTGAAATGCAAATAATGAATTTGCTGATTCAGGAACTGTAGGAGAATTAGACTTACCTCATGAAAGAATGTGTTTCTGGTGATTCTCCATTCCTATGAAGCATGGCMTTTGCAAGTACTATGATAGGTGATGCACATTTAGAAAATCAGGAGGTTTTGTTTTAACACCATGTCTTAAATAGTGCTTCATATTATCATAATATGTCTTTAAAAATTCAGAGTACAACTACAACTAAAAATAATAAAAATAAATAAAAGTTCAAAGTAAGGATCTAAATGAATTTCTGTCAATTTACTAAGATCACTTAAACATTGAGCATGGAGCATAGACAGAATCTCATAGTAAATTATGTGTAAATATAATATCTTTAGGACTTTAACTGTAGAATCATGAAATACAGATCCATATGTACTTTCTGAAAATTTCTTTGAAAAAACTAATATTTGTACTCATCATATTACAATTAGGGCCAAAATTAAATATCTGTCTGATGTTTTAGGGTATATTGAAGTCCTAAAAGATCTTTCACTTTCCAACTTGATTCTCTAATCTTTATGATATTCTTGGGTAAAAAAATGATTTTATGTTCATGTCAATCAATATAATATCAACTATACTCACCCAAAGGGGAAGAATTATAGCCACATTTTTCACATATTTTTGATATTAGTATGAACCTAAGGGTGCTCTACCAATGAGCTACATCAGCAGTCCTTCAAAATTTTTACTTTGAACAGAGCCTTGCTAAGTTTTCAGGCTAGTCTTAAACTTTTAATCCTCCTGCATTAGCTTCTTGTGTCACTAGAATTACAGATATGTGCCAATGTGCCCAGTATATTTATGTACATTTGATTTATAGGCTAGTTTGGATTATTCATGACATTTTATTTCTCCATTATTATGGGTTCCTGAAAGCTGACAACCTAAGTTTTCTCTGTTTTAATGAAAAACGAATTATTTTGTCTTTCCCAGGTCCTTTCTATTAGTTAAATGTAAATATACATACCTACCTACCTATACATACACACACAGACACACACACATGCACACAAATGCCAAGACTCTATTTCCATTCACATTGATTTCCTAAGATTTATTTGCAAATAGGAAGATATTTTCCAGCACAGGGTAATATTAACTATATTTAGAATTTCTAGTTTCAGTGTCTTCTTTAATTTTAAGTACATTACATGACAATTATGACTTGTAAGGTACATTATTCATTTCAAATAACTATAAATTCAGCATTCTGTGTACTTTTGTTGTGCAAATAAATATCTTCTGAACTCTAAATTTGCATCTATAATAATAAAAATTGATAGTAAAGAATGCAGTTCTGACTTGGTGCAGAAGAGGGGAAAAAACTTATTTTTTAATCCAAAAGATTTAAACTTGTTAGTGTCCTTCACTTATATATTTGAAAAAAAGAAAAGAAAGCATAAGAAATTGCTATTTGGTATGAAAAACAAACCTTTTAACTGAAGTAACTAAAGGGAAGAACATTCAAAGAGAATGGCAGAAGAGACGCAGAAAGTGATCCACAGCTTCTGAAAGTCAGTTGTAGGCGCTGTGCATGTGTGGGTTTCTACCTCTACTTTGCACCTCATGATCAAGGTCTCATTGTACAGATGGGACATTTATGGGGCAGTGTGAGGGAGTAGAGTTTTTATTAATTTATGCAGAGGTTTTCTTAGTTTGATTTGATACCAAAGGAAATCAGAGTAACAAATATCTCTGCATTCAACTTTATAGATACTAAARAAATCAAAATAGTTGTCTTAATTTTGATGGTTAAGTGTTGATAAGACACATTTTACTTCATCCCTGAATAATCTTCATAAGTAAATGCACTTTTCTTAATCTCTTCATTTTTTTCAAACACAGAAGTAAGTTATCATTAGAATGCTTAAGTTCTCCATGGGTAAATTATTATAGCAGAGACAGTAAGATCAAAAAATCTGAGTTTAAGTCTAGCATTTTCATCTGTAGACATCACTAGGAAAGTCCTTGACTTTACCACCAAGTCCTTGGAACACTGTTGCATGCTAAAAGAAATTGTTATTACTGTGCTGATCTTTAAGTTCTCTAAGGCAAGGAATTTTTCTAACAGATATATAACATAATTAGGGCAACTATATGTGATAGGGGGCAGAGGAATTATGCTAGATGAAAACATTACTAAAAGAGCAAAACAGGGAAAACTGGCAATTCACCTGAATCATAGTACCTCAATCCTGGCTATGCTTAAACCATTAAAATTAGAGGCATTAGTGAAGCTAAGTATTATTGTCTGTGACTTGTCTATTGCTGTGACTTAGTTGTATTTATTCATACCTAGGCATTAAGGATTTTGTTTGTTTAATTCACATAGCCTCATTTTACAGCCTGGTTCGTACGTATGAACACAGAAGTGTGTTAGTGGTACATCCAAATTTTCATTCTCTGCCAATCATTGTCCAAAATGTGGCAATAAAATGAATACTTTGTACTTAATATCCTCAATGACTGAAAATCAGGTAGGGATATGTTTCTGAAATATCATATGAGTCATGTTATAAGAAAGAGACACTGGGAAAACAAAAAAGGAGAAACTAAGGGATGGATCATCCCTTCCATGTATTGGCAGAGAAGAGGGAAGGCTGCATTTCAAGTGGGTCTTGAAATAGGAGCAGACATTCTGTACAAAAAATAGACAAGGATCTTGAAAGACAAAGGAATAAGCCGACAACATGTACAAGTATAAAGAGGGATGTGATTAGAAAGAGGTTTACAAGGAAATGTTGAGGTCTTAATTTGAGTGAATGAAAATAGTAAGGAAATTTGAAATACTTATTTTAATACTTTAAGTGGACTAACAAGTAATGTAAAAATAATGATTTTTTAAAAATATTGTAACTATTGTGAAAAATAATTTTGGATCTCAAAATATTGCAGAGCAAGTCATACATTTAAGACTTTAAAAACCAATGAAAATAATAGTAATAAGAAGGTGAAGGAAAAAAATAATTTTGGTTTCTTTGGAAATATAGAAAGAATGAAATTTATGATGATGCTATTTGGAGTTTTTCTTTTCTAGACCGTAATGAATGTTTGGTGTTTGGCACATGTTCCCACCAATGTATTAATATAGAAGGATCATATAAATGTGTGTGTGACCAGAATTTCCAAGAAAGAAATAATACCTGCATAGCAAAAGGTAAGGTTAGAATCATTATTGCAAAATACTATTAAAAATGCTATGTTAAAATATAGGAAAAAGATGATTCATATTGAATTTTAGCAATAACTTCATTCCTGAAATTATAAATAGATTTTTCTTGCTAAATATTTTCAGGATTTGATCAACATTTTTAAAATTAAATTTTAATAGTCATATTAATTATATATATTTATGAAGTATTAAATGATAATTTGGTACTTGTATATAATATGGATGCATTTCCATCTTCTCAAGTATTTATCATTTCTTCCTATTAGGAACCTTAAAATTTCCCCCTTCTATTTTTTTATAATGAATTGTTATAATCAGTCATAACTCCATCAAACTGTAGAACATTTAAACTCATTCCTTCTTTGTATCTGCATTTTGTATGCTCTAAAAATATTCTAACTTTGGAAAGTTTATAGAAATGACTGTAAGATATATAGCTAGTGTCAAAATCACTTTGTGTTTGAAATAATTTGTAAGAACAGGGAAGTATTTATAAACCAGTTTAAGTCACAATATATAAAGTTTCTTTGTTTATGATTTACTTTCAGTGCATATGAGAAATTATTAACCAGTAGGATAAAATTAAAAGGATAAAAGTTATCATTACAAAAAGAATAAAGTTTCAACTTTAGCAGTGTCAGAATAATACTTCTGTTCTAGGAATTTTAAAAGTTTTAAGACAATATCTTATTTGAAATATTATACCTCTTGCACTTACCAGTGCCATTAAAAAAATAAATAACAGGTATAAGTGTTGAACTTTTATTTTATTTTTTTAAAGAGAGAGAGAGAGAATTTTAATATTTATTTTTTTTAGTTTTCAGCGGACACAACATCTTTGTTTGTATGTGGTGCTGAGGATTGAACCCGGGGTGGCATGCATGCCAGGCGAGCGCGCAACCGCTTGAGCCACATCCCCAGCCCCTGAACTCTTAATTTTCATACATTTTTATTAAATAATATTATAACTCCCATGTTGTTGGCTAAAGAGTATGAATGGACATTGTTAATGAGATTGTTATTATACAAAAAAAGCATGTGATGCCATGGATTGATGTAGGAGCTTGTATTATGTGTTCTTAGATTTGAATCTTAGCACTATGCTTTTCAGGTTGTGTGATGTGAAGAAATTACTAAATATTTCAAACCCTAGTTCTTCGTCTAGAAAAGAGGAATACTAATATCTTTATTCATGGTTGTGAGAAATGCAAATAAATTGTGAATTGCTTACAATACTGTCTGACCTATAATAAAAATTCTCCAAGTGACAGTTATTAAGATTAAAGATCTGAACTTATACCTCAGTATGTATTATTATTAATATAGATTTATTTTCAGAAACTAAATATTCAATTCAATCCATGTTTAGAATTACATTAGTGTTTTAATTAATATTTTCAGGATTCACCCATAGGATTTTAATTTTTAATATAAATGACATTAATRCAATATTGTATATGACATTAATATTATGTTGTATGTTCAAAACACTGAGATGATGTGTTCAAGTTAATAGTATTCTAGATAATTTTGAGATCATAGAAATTTAATGTAATAAAGACTTAAGTCTGTATACAATAAAATAACAGAATTTCAGATATATGAATGTGAGGAAGTGTAATCTTTTTATCTTAATTTTCATGTTTGAGCTTTAGAGGAACAGTCAACATTCTAAGCCATTTGCTCAGAAATTTTGACAGTAATGACTAACAACTGAACATCTAAATGTTGAGAATAAAAATATTAGAATATAATATATTTTGACTTACCAAATAAAAATCTGTCTTTGTAAAAATGATGTCTTTTACAAGTTCCAAATTTGGAKCCCAAAGGTAAGTTTTGTGTTAGAAAAACCATACCAATAACTATTATAAATGTTCAGAAAAGCAGGCATCAGAAATTATAAGTTGTGACTGCTAAAAAGTGATACAAAGTATGTTCATTTTCATTGCAGAAGAAACTGTGTTAAGCATAACAGTTCTTAATTTAAAAGTACAATCATTGCTTTTACTGTAGTTGAAATTTACTTTATTTTTGTATTTTATTATAATAATCTCCAGGCTCTGAAGATCAAGTTCTCTACATTGCTAATGACACTGATATCCTGGGTTTTATATATCCATTCAACTACAGTGGCGATCATCAACAAATTTCTCATATTGAACATAATTCAAGGATAACAGGGATGGATGTATATTATCAAAGAGATATGATTATTTGGAGTACTCAGTTTAATCCAGGCGGAATTTTCTACAAAAGAATCCCTGGCCGACAAAAAAGACAAACGAACAGTGGCTTGATTGTAAGTAAATAACATTGACTATTTGAAGGCCATATTTTCCATCCTTCAATTTTAAGATAAAATCAAAATATCTGACCATAGGAATTAATTGACATATTCATTTATTCCTCCTGACATTCTCCCAACATAGAAAAAATTCTCTGCTTATTTATTCTTAAAGAAGCACATAATTTACATTACCAGCATAATTTTATGTTTTTGGTTTAATTCATTTGCCTTAGCTATATAAGAATGGTAATGAATGATACTGAGCATAGTGGACATTTTATTTCATTGAGTTTCACAACATATTAGGAATATAAGCCTTTTTTGGTCATGAGATGAGAATGTGAAAATCACTTCATATTTTTACATTACAAAATGATGCAAAGTAGTAGAAATTGTTTCAACTTCAGCAGTATCAGAAGACTACTTCTGTTCTAGGGCAAGAGGTCAACTTGGAAGTGTAACTATTTCTTCTGACTCCTGATAACTGTATTTCAGGGAACATCCAAAACAGAACACTATTGCTTGCTGGTGTATGATGGACATGTTGATTATGATGTTTATTCTTTTTGAGAAAAATAAACTAGAACATTTGTTTAGATTTGTGGTTGTAGACAATCCCTTTTTGTTTGAGGGCATGTCAAGTTATTATGTGTTTTATATTTTGAAGTAACCTGGGCAGAAAATGACAAATGAATACTTGTTTTTAAAGACCCTGGCCTATTCCCACACAACCCACAAGTCAAGCACTATCACAGCAGGATGTAACTGAAACTTCGTATTTAAAAAGAATCAGAGTTACCTGTCTGGAAGTCCTCACAACTTTTTGCTGTGGCATCTATCATAAAGATTTGAATTATATCAATATGATGTARATATGGAACATATTTTAATTTTAGTAACAATAGTTAACAATAAGCTGGTTTTAAAAGAGGTGTCATTGGCTTTCGAATCCAGATTTAAATTAACTCCAAGTGTTTCTTCTGTGTCTAAAAAGTAATCTCCTTTCACTCTATCAGACCAAAAACTGATTCAGATTCATTAATTAGCATTAGCTTTATCTCTAAAACACAAGTCTACTTTGTAAATCATTGCTGTTATGACACTATTTTACTTGTTGTTAATGATATAATAAAGAATATATACTGTGGAATTATACTTGTCTGGGTTTTAATTTTGTTTCTGTCCCTTAGTAGATGCTTAGTTTCTCTGTACTATTTCATGAAGGTCTAGTGAGGGTTAAATAAATAAATATATAATACACTATTATTAATTGCATATAATTATATACAAAATAATTTTATATAATATATATAAATGTTTAACATTTCTTGGGACATATTATGTCCTGTATAAATGTTTTCTAGTAACAGATGATGATTCTTTTGGTGATGCTGAGGAAGGGGAATAGCAAGATATTCTACTCTGCCAGAAACTATTACATTAACAATTATTTGCAACTTATATTTGAACTTTAAAAACACTCACATGATTATTATTATCATCATTATTATTGCTATACTGGGTATGGTTTCAGGGTAATTTTACCATTGAGCTACTTTTCCGCCCCTTTTTAAAAGTTATTTTATTTTTTACTTTGAAACCAAATAAGTTACTAAGACAGGCCTCAATCTTGCAATCCTGCTGCCTCAGCCTCCTGAGTTTTGGGAATTATAGGCATGCTCCACTACATCTGGCCACATCTTTTAGTTAATTTAGATGTAGATTTTTTTTTAGTGAAAGTGGTTTGATTTTATTTAGTTTTCCTTAGAGGTATTGAAATATAACCAATGTACTCCAGTGAACAAAATGTATTGTAGCTCAGAAGCCAACGTTTCACTCAACATTTAATAGTTATATACATTTAATATTCAATAACTGATTTTTATCCATATATATAGATATATTTATATATGTTTTCTTGTAATTATAGCCATTTACCTGTATATATTTTGTTTATTTATGTTTCTTATATTTAACTTCATTAATGTGTTATAGAAATTTTCACAACTCATTGCAAAGCTATTGATTATCCTTTAGCGAATAGCATATGAAACTTAATGTAGTTACTATTTATTGAAAGTGATAATTTGTGCTGTATCACCTGGACTTTGGTTTACCTCTGTTCTTCTAGACTTACCATGACAAATTGTATTCAGGAGGAAGAAAAGTGGGTAACTGTAATAGTAGGAGTTTATTTTCTATTGAGTAGTCCATTATAGCAAGATACAAGTCATGAAGCCTCTGAGTCAGGAGTTTTAGCATTGTGCTCTAAGCTAAATTCCTTATATATTTCAGCCAGTATATTATCCAACAATGTCTAAAGTTTTTTCCGATAAAAGTTTTCCAGATTAAAAAAAATACATGATTTGCAAAAGATCTATAATATATTATATATGTTCACATATTACCTGGATAACTTGCATTTATTCCTATGAAATTCATCTTGTATATAAAGTATTGATTTTCTACCCTTAAGACTCACTCTGCCGTTTAAAACATTTGCTTTTTGAACAGTCACCAGCTAGTCATTCATTAATTTAATGAGTGTGGGATCTATTTTATATTCTAAGTTTTAACACAGATATTAAACCATACTGACTGAAATTTCCTCAATCTTTTGAAGATGAAATTCAAGAATTTTCCCTAGACTGATTATGGCACATTGATTTTTATCTATGAATCAATAGGAAAAGGAGAGGAAAATGCATGAATCAAACTGTGGACACATTAGTTATAACATCAATCTCAGTGAGCCAGATGGAAGGAGTTAGCCATGTAATAGCAGGATGTCCTGAAAGCATCTCCACAGATACTGAAAGACTATGCTGGGTTACAATATTGCTCAAAAACTAAAATGTTAACTGAAGTTCATTCCAAGGGAAGGTAATTTTCAATATAATCTTTCTTTTCTTTTTTTTTAATTATTAAGGGGATACTCTTCAGCAATCTGTAAAATTTTTAGAATACTAATTATGATTACAAATTTAAATTTCAAATGCAGAGTTAGTTATTTTATAGTTAGAAATGCTTATAATTTTCTAACCCCCTGGGCTATACAAAATGGATGAAATTTTTTCTTTAAGAAAATTAAATAATTTAAAACTTAAAAGACTGACATGATCCAATCTATATGTAAAGCATAATGAGATTTCTGAATTTAAATTTTAGCAGTCAGATATAATAAGAAAGCATTATGCAACAATTGTACATACTTTCTGGTAATTTATCATTTCCATTAAAAATGCTGTATGGAAAAATACATGATGGCAAGCACTATAAAGTAGGTCAATGTTTGGAAAAATGCAAATTACTATGAAAGAACAGATTAGATTTTTACCATTTTTACCATTTAAATATTCCTAAGCAAAACAAATGCTCAGGTTGCTATGACCTATTTGATTTTGACTCATGAATACTATTTTGGCATATTTTCTTTTRTACAAAAGATAATGTTCAAGATGAACATGCATATAATTTTATTCATGAACAATCATTATCTTTCCCCCCCCCCAAATTGGTTAGGCTATTGTTTCTTAAAAAGTTTTTAGCAAATATATAATTATGTATAGTAATTATATTTCATATTGTAATTAAGTCCCAGTACCTAACTTATGGGTCTATGTGCAACACACATCTACATACACACAAGCATACAAGTGGATAAGTACCCACAAATTGTGTGTGTATGTGTGCCTATGCAAGACTTCAAAGTCTTGTTTTAGAATATAATACCATATAATACACTTTAGTTTAAAATTATTAATGCTAAATAAATCATTAATCAGACCTTATAGTATTTGAAGATGAACCAGGCAAGATTTATTCATTCATAATCGAAGGTTTATTTAAAAAACCTGCTAAAAGTTTATTTGAGTGCTGAGTTCTTGGTATACAAAAATTTCAACTTTGAAAAGTGTGTTCAAGGAAATAAATAATGGACTAAAAAAGAAAAATACTGATGTTGTCAGCATTGTAGAATATAATCAATAATAGTCCATTTGAAGAGAAGATTTGAGCTAAGATCTAAGAGTTGAGGAGGAAGTAATACCATTTTATAAATACTTAAAACAATAATTCTACTTCCAAGGCAGAGAATGTTTCATGAGAAGAAATGAAGTCCACATAAAAAGCTATTGTGCTCCACGTTAAAGGTGGTGATAGGTTGCACTACTGTCATTTCAAAGCAGATGGAAAGTAGTGGCTGGAAATATAACTTTAGGAAAGCTTTGTTAATAGAGTGAATGCAGAAATGAAGACAGAAAATACTCAAGACTGATAAACCGAAATGCTGGGTTATACAACCTTAGGATTCTGATAATAGTAAACTGCAGGTTTGGTTTTAGTTACTCATTGAGATGTCTATAAGAGATCCATGAGAGATATCAAGTAATCAGTGAGTGGTGTATTCAAGGCTGGATCTTAGATCTGTGGTCTAGAGATACCCATGAAAGAAAAGAACAATGGAGGAGATATCTCACATGGATCTCCACATAGTAATAATACCARTCTCTTCATCCAAACTTTAAACAGATCTTTTGTTTGTTACATCATTTTCTGTAACAATAAACCTAAAAGAAATGGTGCTAAAATGCATCACCAATGTAGTTACTCTTTTATTGTTGATTGAAAAATGTATTGTTATTTTCTTACCATGTTGTTACTTTTGCTAACTCATTTTCTCAGCCTTGCTTAAAATTGAATACCTCCAAGATCAGCTGTGGTTCTCTGTTTCCTTTCTTTTTTGTTGAGTTCAGATAGTTTCATGGTTTACCATACATCCACATGCATCCAGTTACCTAACTGGTATCAGCCAATGTCTAACTGCTTACTTTGCTTTTCATCTGGGCTATCTAAAAATTCTCCAGAAGTACCTTGCCCTCAAATAAATTTCCATGATTGACTAAACCTGCTTCCTCAAATGTTATTTAATGGCAACTGTTCATTTGCCACATGCTTGAAGTAAAAATCTCGGGAGTCATTTTTGATTTTTCTCCTTTCCTCATAGCTGGAGA